AGTCGGGAGAGAAGTTTGCATGGCCTCTCACCTCCCTTATTGGAAGAGGACAATTCTCTACTCCTGCTACCCTAACTTAGCTTCTTGACAGCCTTTAAAGAGCATCTTATAACATAAAAGGTGAAAGGAAGTTTTAATAAATCCCAATAAAATAAAGGTTAGAAGTTATAAAATAGACATAGACAAGATTTTAAGCAGAAGATAAGAGCACAGAGCCAATGAGCTAAAAGGTTACAAAATTTTAAATATAAAAAAGGTTAAGATAAAAGGCTAACACCCATGAGATGAAGCATTTAAAATAATCAAGCAAATTTGATCAAGGGTCAAATAGAAGGACTTAAAAATGAAAAATGTGCATGAGGAAAACAATAAGAAAAAGTACATACTTTTAAAATGAAAAGGCAGAAAGCTCAGCGATTAAGAAAACAAAGGAGAGACTGGAGAGGAGGGAGAAAGGGAAAACTAGACAGAAAGAAACTGCTAGAAACAACGTGGAGTGCTAGATCTCAGATTACTGCAGGGACATTGGGCAGGGGACGGTGCACTGAGGAAGCCCCTCTAAAATCATACCACCGGTACTCCCAGTCCTCTCCAGAACCCACAGGGAACAAGGGCACCGTCCCCACTGATTAGCAAACGACTTTACTGGTTGTGGGGTAGCCTGGGTTTCCCATCAGAAAACTCTGAGTTATGAGCTTCCTGGTGGCACAGGGTTAACATCTCAGTGCTATAAGGCTATCAGCAACCACTGCAGCATCATGAGTTCGATCCCCAGCCAGGGAGCTGAACCACATAGCAGACCTCTCCTGCCTCCCTGCTGCTCCCCTCAGCAGTGTATGTACTTCAGTAGATCTGCTGTTCTGCTCCCCACTCTGTCTCTGGTAAATCATCCCACCCTCTGAACCTCTTACAGGCCAATTCTTGTATGCATAAATAAATAAAAATAAATCTTAAAAAAAAAAAAAACCCTCTGAGTTCTACCCCTGCCCACTTTTACTGGCTGTATGACTGAGCAAGTTTCTCAGCCTCTGAGTTGTAAACATGAGGGACAATTTAATAATAATAAAACTAATAATAACAATTCATCTTTGTGTAATTTCTATTATTTCACTCTCAAGGATAGTCTCCAAGTTCTAAGCGCAGCCCAATGCACCTCCCTATTCCTCTCACGCACACGCACACCTGCGATAGCATAGCCAATGGGTGGCATCACCCAAGAGCCCAGCGTCCGAACATTTCCAACCACAGAGACCGCCTGTCCCCAGTAGCCTCTGCGCAACTTGTTCACTCCAATGAACCTTGAGTCTCTACTAAAAAGAGGAGGTGTAGCTGGGAAGGGGGCCCAAGTTATAAGAGACAAAGTTCCAGGATGAAAGGAGGCTTGGCCCATCTACACAAGGCACAAGCAGGATACTTGAAGCTGAGGGTTACTGACATACTGACTTTCCCTTTTCAATATTTCAGACTCCACAACATACGCGCATTTCCTGTTCAATGCATTTGACACAGACCACAATGGGGCTGTGAGTTTCGAGGTAAGTGGAGACTTTTTAAAAATAGAACTTGACGTCAGGCATACTGGAAGAGATTTAGTTATTCCAGTGAGAAAATTTGAGTTTATCAGTTTGCTTTTTTTTTTTCCTTTTAAGCCTGTTATTCTCTTGTGTTTTATCATTATGGTAAGAACTTTTAACATGAGATCTACTTCTTAACACATTTTTCCATTTTTAACTGGACAATAGTTTATTGTTGACTACAGATTCAGACCCCATTTTATTCATTTTGTTTGACTGAAACTTCATGCCAATTGATAAATACCTCTCCATTTCCCCAAACCCCCCCTCTAAGATCTAGACCAGGAGCCTCAACTGGGTATCTCATAACTTAACCACAAAGATCACTGAGTCAGACAAGTAGAAGCTGGTTGAGCTATAAAGGTGTTGACTAGGGGCCTCCTGTGGCCAAATCGAGCTATCCAGGTGGGGAAGCAGCTACGATGGGGGAGGACAGGAAAAGTCAGAGGGTCACAGGGCCCCAATCCTCTGTAATCTTTCCTCTACTAATAGCCCCTGTGATCACCCCGTAACAATAACTGATTAGCAATTTGCTACACTTTACCAACAAGATGCACCCCAGCATAACGTTACTGAAGCTATAATATAAAAGTCAAAGGTTCCAGTCTGTCTACTAACAATGTTCATAGGTAGTTTGTTGCGATTGTGTAAGGCACAGACATCTGGTGATTTCATTACTGAAGTTGCTATGTCAGAAACACACCACCAATTACCTATACATCATCATAGCTCACATGTAGTGTTGACTGGTAGTGATAAGAGGCCATGCAAAACATTGCGATCACAATATTTATGTGAAGTATCAATAATTGTGATGAATATACATAATAATCTGGGAAATTAGTGGCACAGTCTATGTATTATGAATATGTTGAGTAAATGTTTCTCCTTTCAAAGGTAAGTTAATAGCTAAATTAATAAATGTTAAATTAAAATGAAATTGAAACTAGGTTATTGTGGTTATTTTTCAAAATTGATTAGCTACCTGGAAGGATCTAGAAAACGGGATGATTAGTCAATGAACACATTTAACTAGCAATTCTATCCTGGGTAATACAGCAGAGACAATCCTGATTCCATGGGAAAGGAAAATGGAAGTTTTCCACGTAATTGGCTTAAACCTAAGGGGCAGAGTGAATAAAACAGGAAGGGCCCTAAATCCAGATATGACTAGACCTATTCCCTACTAGGCCACCAAATGACTGTGAGACCCTGGACTAAGTATTTTAAATCTACCTCAGTGTTCATGTCTGAATAACATGCAAAACTATTTCTCAATATGATGAAAGAGTGAAAAAGCAATAACGGTATAGGTCTTGGTTCAGTAGATGAGCCCCAATTACACTAGATGTAATTATAGCAGTTATTATATGGGAGATATTCCTAATAAAGCTAATTTAAAATGACAAGAACCAAATAGTAAATCATTTTGCTTGTAGAGCCTGCTAATACTTTTGGCTATTGTAAATACTCAGTAACTACATACACCAATCCTAAATAAGAATGCAGAACTGTGCTCTAATAGAACTTTATTGACACAAATGAGTGGTGGGCCATGGTTTCCCAACTCCCGTTCTTGACCATCCCTGTAGACTACCTCCTACTGGCAGAGAGATTGGGACAGAGTTTTCTAGAAAATGCCTAGTCATTCCATGGCTTGTTGACTAAACATTACTGCCAACATTTGCAATCAAGCCCAGTAAGCCACAAGCATCAGGGCAAAGCACACCCATGTGTGTGCTCCAAAGGGTGAGTTTGCTAGAATTACTACAGCTGTGCTATTACTCAGCAATCAAAAAAGATAAACTCATGCCATTTGCGGCAACATGGATGGAGCTGGAAGGGATCATGCTTAGTGAAATAAGTCAGAAAGAACAAGAAAAATACCGGATGGTTTCACTCATGGCAGGAGTATAAGGGATCAGGAAAAAAATATGTGTGTGTGAGTGTGTGTGTGTGTGTGTGTATAGTAATTAAAGTAAAAATGAAATTCAACTAATAACTATAAATCAGAGACATTCTACGGGAGAGGAGAAGGAACAAGATCAAAACTGGGGTGGGAAGAGAGCACGAGACTACGGTGTATGTTGATGGCACGTGGGTGAGGTGGTGGTGGGAAGTCCACCGGGATTGCAGCTGAGATGAAACAATATACAAAATGAAGAAAAATGTAAATATATGTGTAATTTTTAAAAAAGCATGGTTCACCTAGAACACACTGACATAGATATTGTATATATGGCTGCTTACTGCAGATAACTGATGACCTCACATACCATGGTTCAGAGCTTCAAAAGACCTTTAACTGACAATCCAAATTACACAGAAAAAAAAGTGTGAGTGGCACCTCCTGGAGATAATATTAAAATGTAAAGGTATATACCTAAAAAAGCAATCACTTTGTCACTCACAGTGCTGAGGAAAAAGTGTTTTTCCCCCCAAATACTGGTATGGTTACCGCAAAGCTCTCTTTCTAGGATACTTGGTCAAATTTATTTTCTTTTGAGATGTCAGACCTCAAAAGATATTATTTTACGGCTGTTTTCTAAGTCATTTATGAGGTAATTTCAAGGCAAGAACTCCTGGTGTCTTCAAATATTCTACAACTGTTATTAGAAAGTAACTGGATTGCAGGCATCGTGACTCAGTTTCATATCAGCTCTCGACTGTGTCTTTGATATTAAAATAAATGCGATGTTACCAATAGCTAGACTTCTGCTTTAGCACACTTAATGATTACTTGTACCCTTCTTAGATCATCAACAAAAGTATGTATGTGTGTGTACACATCCGGTGGGATTTGTTGTTGTGTTTGGCCTGTCTTTGATCACTTCCTCACTTTCTGGCACAAGTTGCTTCAAGCTCTTCGTGTCTTCCCCCATGTCAACTGTGGAACTGGAGTCTCCTTAACACTCTGGACCTCACAGGGGTCCGGGGGTCCGGAATCTCATCAAAAAGAGCAAGTGCTCCTGGGTCAAGTTCAGATCTAGATGGACGACTTCTAAGTGCTTTGGGAGTGCCATCCTCCATTTCTGTGCTTGAATTTCTTCAAGGCAAATGGAAATAATCCTGGGAATTGCCTTTCACGGTGAAAGAATGGATCAAAGGACTTTACACGGAAAACTCTAAATTGATGCTAATGAGCCTAATTAGCAACTGCATCTAGTCAATCTCAAGGAAGCCTCTTTCTAGGTCCTGGGCCTGCAACTTTTGGGATTCCTTTAATCTTATCTTTCTATCATAGTTTTCATCATCACACCTGTAGACACATACTAAATCACTTTTTTAGTAGTTATGGCTGTTTTCTAAGTCACTTATGAGGTAATTTCAAGGCAAGAATTCCTGGTGTCTTCAAATATTCTACAAATGTTATTAGAAAGTAATTGAATTACAGGCATTGTGACTCAGTTTCTTGATATTAAAACAAATCAGGTAGGGTGTATGGTTACATCATGGTCTGTGTAAGAACTGGTTCTAGTGAAAATGAGAACTTGGGCTTTGAGGGAGATCTGGGTGCCAGATGCCGGTTCCATTTCTGGGGCTCGCTGGCTGTGTGCCTAGGGTCAGTCACCTCTTTCTCCTAATTTCCATCTATACAGCAGCAAAGCTATTCCCCATGGTGTATGTGGCCAAAGTAATGATTGGAAGTTGACTAATACCACCATGCACACCATACACCATAAACAAATGGTCTGTACTATAATTGCTATTAAATGTTAGTGTTCCTGGGGTCCTCTAAGCCAGGAATTTCACTTTTTTCCTAAGAAAGTAAATTGAAATGATGGCATATAGTTAGGGGAAAATGTTACTGAAGCATTATTATTTTTAAGATTGATTTATTTGTGCATACAAAACTGAGGTGCAGACCAGAGATGTGGGGGTGAGAGGACTCGCCAGAGATAGAGTGGGGAGCAGAACAGACAGACTGACTGCAGTACACTCCTGAGGGGAGCAGCGGACAGGTCAGGAGAGGTCTGCTGTGTCATGTGGGTCAACTCCCTGGCCGGAATTGAACTCAACAGCTGCCGTTAGCTTCACAGTGCTGTGCTTCAACCCCTTGTACCACCAAGGAGGGACTCTGCAGCATTATTTATAATCAAGGAAATTTTAAACAATTTACATGTACAGCAATAGGAAATAATTGTCAAATAAACTGCATTGTTTCCATATGACAGAGCAGTGTTTCAAACTCCAAATTGCAGCCATTAGTAGATGTAAAATTAATGGAGAGATTAATGATCAGGATATTTTTAAAAATTAATGGAGCAAAATTAATGGGAAAAGGTAGTTTCTGGTTTATGACTGTATGTACATGTTTAAACTAGGTTTCATTTAAAACATAATTCTTCTTTGTATTATTAGTATGTGCAAAAGTTTGAAATTTTGGGATAGTATGACTAATTTCAACCATATGAAATTACTATTCTTATCAAGTATGATCAAAAATGTTGGCAATTAATACAGGTGAACCTAATATTTAGCTTTTAAATGATGTCACAGTGAATTTTCAATGATGTGAGGAACCAGTTATAATTTAAATGAAATATGTAGAAATATATATTTATATGTGTGCATATACCTGTATATGACCTTTAAATATATACTCAGGTGTGCAAGAAAAAAATACAGAATGTTCAACATGAATAATTGATAGATTATGACTCCAGTTTTCTCTGAAGCTTTTAAACTTTTTTACATAGATCAAGCATATATTTATGATTTTTTGTTTGAATAGGCATTAATTTTAATATCCTCTAGTGACATGAATTTTAATAAAAGAGCCCTCTTATCACTTATTTTAATGTGCCTATAATCACCTTTTAAGATACTAAATTATAATATATTATGTACCCCTCAAGATAAGTATATTATCTCCTGGATGAGTAAATGCAAGCTATCTTCATAGCAGAGAAAACAAGCAGCCTTAAAAAATGTCATGAAAGTACATAAGCACCAAGTAA